GCTTTGAGCAAGTTATCTGATTTCAATAAACCTGAGGTTATTCATCTGGAAAGTGGAAATGAAGATAATATCTAAGGCTATTTTGAAAAATAAGTGGAAAAATGCATATGCGACTCAAAAAACAGGGCTTGGCATGAGGTAGGTGTACATTTTTTTTTTAAGAAAGGAAAGTGGCCCAAAAGACTGTATGGCATTGTGTCAGCGATAATACAGGGTTTCAGAGGACAGAGAGATCACTTATCACTCGTGAAGATTAGGGAAGATGTCACAGAAAAGAAAGTAGTCTTAAAGGACAGTTGGAATTGTAGGTGGCTGAGAAACAGAGTCAGGAGGGTGTTCTAGAGGACAGAGTGATGTGTTCATGGGGCTGTAGGTAGACCAGGTGGCAAGGGTGAAGACAGATGGAACGATGTGGGTTCTCCCTGGCAAGCTAAGCATTTGGCTCTTTGAATATTTGTTGAACAGTTTCTAGTGGAAGGGTAAGGGGAAAACGATTTTCTGTTAGTCAACTTAGTATACCTTTCTTCATGTTTCTCTCTGTTCAAAGGAAGGTGTCCGTGGCACGCTTTGAATGTAACGTGACATTTTAACATATTTAGACTCGTCTTTCAGTTTATAATTTTTTATAGCATGTGATTGGATGCAGTCAGTCACACTCGCCATGGCTAGAGGTAATTTACATGGATACGGTCACATGATCTCTTGGCGTAGGGCATTGTTTGCATTGATGGGAGCGGGTCTGGTTTACATTTCACTAGTGAGTGAGGAGTTTGAGGTCGAAGCCTCAGTTAACTGGCATGGTGTTTCTAATGTATCAGTGGTGTTCTGGTGCCCCGTATGGGATGGTGCCAGGGCAGCTGTCTCATTGGGTGTCTACATAATTGACACTGAGGATGAAGGTGTGGAGTAGAATGTAGAGCTCAAAAGGCAGGTTAGAGCCAGATCCAAGGAAACTTACTCACTAGTGAAAAAGGTATGGATTTTATTTGGTAGGCAAAGAGGTCTCTTGGCAAACCATGAAACAAGTGCCAGTGTGGGATTTAGGAACATTGATTAGGTGCTGAAGTGCATGAGAAAACGAAGGCAGGAAGCTCCCTTGGTGGTGACGTTGGGAATACAGGTGTGAGGCTGTAAGTTCTGTCTTTGGATGGGAGTGAAGTAGGTGGGAGGAAACAGAGCTACAGGCAACGTGAAGAAGGAACTGGGAGACTAGATGGCTGAATAGACAGAAAGCTGGGGGTGTGGGAGGCCGGGAAGAGGGAGTGAACCAAGACAACTGAGATCTTAAATCACATTGACCTTCTAGGCATGTCTGTCGGCACAGCCTCTAACACTCACAGTGTGTGTCTTCTTGCAAATACAATATAATTGGTTGGCATATATCATGGAAACGAAAGCTTAGATTTCAGATGCAAAACTTGTTTTTTAATCTAAACCGCACTCGTTCTTTTATCTCCTTTTCCTCATTGAATTAGCTCCCAAGAGAAAATTGTTGGGTTGCCAAACTTACGAGATTTCCCTGTTTTTCAAAACTTTCTGTTTTAAGGCCCTTTCCTTTCAAGAAAATTATTCTGATGGAAGATGTCTTAATAGGGAAGTGCTTAAAACATCTGTAGGCTTTAGAAAATGTGTTACTTCTCTAATGTATGTAAAAATTAATTTCGACATACTAATTCAGAACTTTTGATAATTTAGGCAGGGACAAAATTCCATTATAATTCTCCATGAAAATGAGTTTGCTCCCTTTTCTCCTTTTTTCCGAGGGTGGAATGTTTGAGGTGGGTTGAATAAGACAATAAATTGTTTATAGCACTTTGGAAAAGTGATTAATATGCTAATTAAAACATGTTCTCTACATATACAGAAACCTGCCAATCTACAAATTGACAGAGGTTAGACGTATATAGCCAAACCAAGAAACAAATAACCTACTTGGAATAAAAACAATGCATACTCTTGCTGTTTTATAAACAGATTCAAGTGTTTAGGGCTGTTTCCTCTCTATTGTTTAATTGGATCATTATTTCACTTATTTCCCTTATTTCAAATTAGAAATAGCTTCATATTTTTATCAAGTGCACCCCACCTTTCAAGATATTCTGACACTTCTGTTTCGACCGAATCTAAAGGCGTTTTTTTTAGATGAGCAGATCTTATGAAACTGGTAGATGCGTGAATATACTCAACAAATGTATTCAGGTAGATACCTTAAAGGCTTATGCTTGGCAACACGTATTTTACTGACTTGGTTCTAGTTAGTAATGTGCTTGAAAACAAACACCATTTCTTTAAATAAAAAATTTTAATTCGAATTTTTAAATGGTTCAGACTGATCCTTCTCCTACAAACAGAATGAATTAAAGAGCAAGTATGTTTCCAAATCTTAGCGATTGTAAATAGCGCTAATGAACGTAGGGGTGCATGTATTCTTTCTGATTGATGTTTCATGTTTCTTAGGATATATTTCAAGAAGTGGAATCACTGGGTCAAATGGCAGTTCCAGTTTTAATTTTTTGAGTTAACACCATAGTGTTTTCCATAGTGGCTGCACCAGTCTGCATTCCCACCAGCAGTGTACTAGAGTCCCCTTTTCTCCACACCCTCGCCAACACTTGTTGTTTGATGATTTGTTGATGGCGGCCATTCTGACAGGTGTGAGGTGATACCTCATTGTTGTTTTAATTTGTATTTCTCTGATGATTGAGGCTGTTGAGCATTTTTTCATATGTCTCCTGGTCATTTGTATGCCCTGTTTGGAAAAGTGTCTATTCAGGTCCTCTGTCCATTTTGTAATCCTCACATGAGGACCGTTTTTTGTTTTGTTTTGTTTTGTTTTGTTTTTTTGCATTTATCTTCAGAGTGGGAGAAAGAAGGAGAGAAACATCTATGTGAGAGAGACACATCCAGTGGTTGCCACCCACACGACCCCAACCGGGGCCGGGGACAAACTGCAACCGAAGTACATGTCCTTAGTGGGAACTGAACCTGGGCCTCTCTGGTCCATGGGCCGATGCTCTAACTGCTGAGCCAAACCGGCCAGGGCCTCTATCCATTTTTTAATTGGATTGTTTGTCTTCCTTTTGTTGAGCTGTGTGAGTACTTTATATATTTTGGATGTTAACCCCTTATCTGATGTGTCCATCAGTAGATGAGTGAATAAAAAAAATTGTGGTTCATTTACACAATGGAGTACTATGCAGCTGTAAGAAAGAAAGATCTCTTACCCTTTGAGACAACATGGAGGGATCTGAAGAGTATTATGCTGAGTGAAATAAGCCACTCAGATAAAGACAAGTACCACATAATCTCACTTATTTATGGTATATCATGAACAACATAAGCTGACGATCAAAACAGATCCAGAGACATGGAAGTAGGGAACAGACGGACAGACTTCAGAGGGAAGGGGCTTGGGGGTGGGGGGATGGAAAGAGATAAACCAAAGAACTTACTTGCATATATGTACAGTATAACCAGTGGACACAGACAATAATATGGGGAAGGCAGGAGGTGGATGGGAGTGGGGAAGAGGGGCCAATGGGGAAAAAAGGGGGAAACAATTGTAATAATCTCAACAATAAAGATAAATTAAATAAAAAAATACAGAGCAAGTATGACTATATTATCAAAAGTATGCATTTACGTATTCACTTTGAACAAATGCAAACATTAAAAAAACACTTCTACCATATGGTGCGCGTGTACACGCACGCGTATACACACACACATACACACACACACATTTGTCAGAATATCTGATTTTAATTTGTTCCTTCTGCTGAATGCCAGTTATTCCATTTAGAATCGAGTGAAATGGCTCTCTTTTAGAAAGGTCTGGAACTAACATCTAAACAGAGGCCTCATATTTATAGCTAACATCAATGATTTTTTTCAAGGCGGAACATGGAGAATAAAGAATGACGTTTCTCCCATGCTCCTTCTTTTCATCTAGTTACTCTATGCCATTTTCATTCATGTGAGGGTCAGGTTACCTTTTGCACTGGGAAACAAAATGTTTAGAATATGGAAGAACCCAATAAAAGCATTGCCTGTTTCCACACCATCTTAGTTGCAAACAATTTCTCTGGATAAGCAAAAGGTTATTGATTTTCCGTACCATCTAGCCATTGCTGAACATATGGTAAGCCCAGCTTTGGGGTGTGGAAATAATGGTAGTACACTACGATACATCCTATCTCAAATGAGTTTGGTTTAAACTGATAACATTCCTGTGATTCCAGCTACCGTCCTGAGTACTCAATTCGTGTTTGGAGAATGAAATAAATGACCAGCTTTTGTGCCTGGATGACTGAGAACAGTTTCTTTGACTTCACAAAGGAGAACTTCTCAGTGAAGTAATGTTTAAAATCTGTTACTGTAATTATAATAATTATTACATGTTAGAGTTGATTAGGAGAATTGTCTAATGTAAAAATTCTTAAACATTGTTTACCTTGTTTAATTGAAGACAAAACATGTCATAGGAAAACACCTTGCTCAGCAGAGTGAGAGACCAAGGAACTGGGAGAACCAATTCTGCACTGAACTGTGACACAGACTAGGGGAGGTGGGGCTGAGGGGAGGGTTGTCCTACAGAAAAGGTAAGACACCTCATGACACAGACAAGGCCATGGGAGCCTGGCCGGTGTTGGTTTCTGACTTCATCCCCTTGCTGTGTCTTCCTGGCAATTCCCAGTTAGTGACCCACATTTGAGTAACCAAATGCATGGAACATGCTAACAGCAGACCCAGGTGATGTTTTGTCTCCACGTTCGCCGTACCAGACCTGAGCGGGTAGATGGCTCTGTCTGGAAGGGGTGTCAGTATGGACGACACAGGGTGGGGCAAAGGTGGGTTTATAGTTGTTCGCTTGGAAAACAATACAGTCAGTAATAAATAATAATACAAGAATACACTCTGGGTTTCACATACAACTGTACACCTTCTTCTGCCCTACCCTGGATTTGGGGTATCTATCATGGTATTATAGTAAGAACTCAGACTCACAGGAATAACTGTGCCACCAAGTCAGAGTTTGAAAGGTACTGGAATTTTAAGGAAAGATGACCCTATTTGATAATCAAAGAACTCAAGAGTAAGCCAAATATGGAAATTAGAATTTGTGAACAATTTCCCGGTCTCTTTCCTTTCAGATCAGTTGGTAAGAGTGTTTGCCATGGTGAAAAGATGTACAGGTGGATTTATATCCCTGCGAAGGCTGACAGGTGGGGGCCGATGAAATGTCTGTTCTATTGCAGAGCCAATTGAGTATCAGGTTAGTGGTGTGTGTGTATAAAGGTTGTTTACAGATAAAGAGTCATCTCTTTTTTCCATTCTCATAAATTGTATTTATTTATTAGAGTAAGGCACTTTCAGATTATCTGACAGACGAACTAGGTATATTCGGTATCTGAAAATCAATTTAAAGGCAGGCATTTAACTTGTGAGGGAACAAAAGAATGTTTTGTCGTTTGCCTTTGCATCTCTTATCTGCCCATACTTTCTCTCCATGGCTCCTTCAGGGACCAGTGTCATGAGGGGATGATCGCTGGCAGACTGTGTCCCTAATAAACCTATTTTATTTGAAAAAAATTATTGTTTGGTCCTCACCATGTGATAGAATTCTGAAAGGTCAGCAGCCTGTAAGTACCGCACAAAAACATTTGAAAAACACTCTAACTCTGGGACAGGCCTAGAGTACACATCACAAGTATTCATTGTAGGCATCGTGTTCATGGTTTCTCGGCAGCGCGGATTGGCTCCACAGCACCCAGCCACGCTGCCTCTTGTTGATGAAAAATTCTCTTTGACAGCAGGGCCAGGAAATGGCTGAGTTACAGGCGTGACGTGGCCTCAAGGGCCATGTCCTTACAAAGGCAGGTCTTGCCGAGGTTTTGTCAGAGAGCAGGTTTGCTGGGTGGAAGCTGGTGGCTTGTGCAGGGAGGGCTGGGAGAGGCACAGGGGGACAGTCTGGAGCCTGGGGAAACTTGGGGTTTCCCCCGCTTTCTCGCTGAGCTGTTCACGGCAGAGAGCGGCTGGCCTGGTCCCGAGGCCGGCCCGGACCAATGGCTTCAGGACATACCCGCTTCTCCCTTCTGTTCCAGACAGCTGACTTTAAATGGGTGAGAAGTCAAAAATAATAGATGCAGGAACCCCTTTTCAATTGTGATTTGTTTTCTCTCTTTGTGTCTAGCCCACCCCGGCCCCAGATGTAATGAAATTCGGAAACATTTTCTGGCCTCCCCAAGCTCATTTTCTGTACCCTTATTATTATTTCAGCTACTAGGAAATGACAGAGGGAAGAATCCCAGGAAATGAAGCTGCAGTGATTAAGATTTCTAAGAAGAACCAGCCTTGTTCCAGGTTTCTTTAGGATTTTCTGCTCTTTAAATGAGTCTAGAAAATTTCCCTCACGCTGATAATAGATTTTTAGCTCCTGTGAGGTCATTTCACCATTTATCACATACTCATTTTTTTTCCCCGAAAATCTTTTAAATCTTACTTTTACTTCTCTTTCTGCAGCGGTTAGTATGATCTTCAGTGTCGATTTATGAACAAAGCTATTCAAACAAAATGTCGGTAAGAGATCCTTATATGTTTCCTTCATATATCATTTGCCCCAGCAACATACAGGGACACATTCTATGTTATAGGATATGTAGGCTTTTCAAAATAATTACCCACCTCCGTCCCATTTTACCACCAGCATTATGAAGCTTTTTATATCTTGGGTATAACCCAGTTTATATGCGCTTATGTGTAGCACCTACTTCAAGGGGTCGTTGGGAGGATTAAGTGACTTCATCTAGGCAAAGCACCGGGAATAGTGCCTGGGAAGGGTGAGCTCTATGTGAGTTTTGCTGCCATTATCACTCGCTGGTTTACTGTTTTAATTTGATAGAAGAATACAGAATATCAGTTTCGATTCATACTCAGCTATGGTTGGATGCAACGTTGGCCCAGCAATTGTCCGCCCCTTAGAGTTTAACAGAACTACTTCAGTTGAACAAGAGGACAGGCCAACCACCTTTTTTTATACTTTGCTCCGGGGTCTTGAAATGTTCCCTAATTTACTTCTTGTTCACTGTAATACCAACCAAGAGAAGGGAGGGTATGGGTCCCTCCTCCCTCCACTCACCTTCTTCCTGTGGTCACCTTAGAGGGGAAGAGACAGAGGAGTTTGTCCTGATAAAAAATAAGACTGAGCGTATTCTATAAAGTTCACTTAAATTTGCAAAAGCCCTGCATAACACGTGATCTTAAATGGCAGGTTGTATGCAAAAGACCACTGACATTCAAGGACAGAAGACTAAATAGTGACTGTTTACCCACCAAGCACTTTAAAACTGACCTGTTTCCCACACGGTGTCTTGAGGTTGAATTATGTCCCAGCAGTATCATCTTTAACACTGTTGGGAAAGATGATTTGAGAGAGATCAGATTTCATCAGGTGATTGACAAGACTAACTCCCTCCTACAGTGTATAAAACAATTAAACATTAAATACATTTTGCTGCAGAGTTTCACTCACACGTTCAGATTAAAACATTTTTTGTCAATGACCTTTGCAATGGTAGTGTGTCTCCCTTGAATGTTTATGGCACTCACTACCAAAATTCATCCTGAGGACATATGTTTTTCTGTTCTCTCTTTCTGGTCTCCTCTGGAGAGAATGGAGGGCATTTCCCAGCTAGATCTGCATTTTTTCAGTTAGAAAAGATGTTAAGCCCAGCCGTTGTGGCTCAGTGGATTGAGTATTCTCCCATGGACTGAGAGGTCCCAGTTTGATTTTCCTAGTCAGGGCACATGCCTGGGTTGTGGGCTCGCTCCCCAGTAGGGGGCGTGGAAGAGGTAGCTGATTGATGTTTCTCTCTCACACTGATGTTTCTATCTTTCTCTCCCTTCCTCTCTCTCTAAAAAGTCAATAAAAACATATTTTTTAAAAAAAAAAAGAAAAGCTTTTTCATTTGTTGTCTGATGGCACTGAAATATTTTCTCCAATCTGCCCTTATTGAAAAGAGCAGAGCCTATCCCTGTCACCGTGGGTACCTGGAGTTAGGAAGTGAGTGCTTTGTTTGTAAACAGACAGTGGTTCTGAGAATCCCTGGTCCTGCTGTGATCATGTCTCCAACATCCTCGTGGGACTGCTTAGCAGGTGCCTGTTCTGAGTTGATTTTCCGCCCCGATGTTTTCTAGGTTAAGGAAGATTTTACACACATTCCTTGTGAAATCCCGTCATCTTCTGTCCAGGATGACTAGGCGTCATGAGTGAACTAATCCATGCTGTATCTTTTTGGGGGCAAGTGGAGAGGTGAAATGTCAAAAAGTCCACCCCCTTGTGTTGTCTTATCACTCAAGCTAAACAGGACAAAGGGTGGTGATACCATCAGGCTAATCGATGGACACTGTTAAAAGCCCCCTGTCTCTCAACCCCCATCCCACTTCCTTCCAAAATCTTTCTACTTGTTTTTTCAAACAAGCTCAGCTTTGAACTACTTTGCTGAACTTCTTTTTTTTTCCTCTTATTTTATTTGATTTCGCAAGACAGTCTAAACTCTTTCAGAGACCAAAATCATTGTTCTGTGGATAGTTGAAAATGCAGCTATATCTGGGGAAGGTGGCAGTGGGGAGGTGTTATTTCTTATTTTTTTAAAAAACCCGCAAACCTAATTAAAATGGCAGAAATCCTTTTAGCCAGGAAGTGAGCAGCTGCTGGAGCAGACCGGTCAGCCGGTGGAGAGGGTGCGGGTTTGGGGAGGGAGCTGCGGGGGCCTCCCCGCCTCACTCAGTCCCTGTCCTCTGAGCCTGCATTGTCTCCCAGTCACTTGGTGTTCTTTGTGTGCGGTGGGTGGCTCCTGTCACCCGCTCCTAGTCAGTCTCACCCAGCCTCATTTATCCCATTTTCTTTCTTTCTCTCCCCACTCTTCCCTCCGCCCCCAGGTCTGTTCTTCTCTTACTGGTTTTATGATTCCAGTGATTATAGAGAGCATTTTGGTAAAGTAAATGCTCAAAAGATACAGTTTCTAATGAGCTTCAAAGAAATGAAGAAACGAGCTATGATGCCTCTAACCTGGGCAGTGTGCCTGTGTGGATTTGGGAGTGCTCTGTTCTTAGTGTAACTGCTTCTGGGGATGAGGGTGATCTGGAGGGGGCCCTGAACGGGACGTGGTGCCAGCCCTTAAGGAGCACCTCAACAATAAATGAACTGGGCTGCTGAGTAGCCCCCTCCCCCAATATTCTGAGACAACTGTCAGTGCACCCTGGCTTCTGTGCCATTGTTAACAAGAAGCGAAATGCAACAACAAATGCCTTGTGAATTTCAATAGCCAGGTAGGACGTTCAGAAAGGCTTCGGAGATAAACACGCTAATCCGCCTTCGGTCTTACATGAAGCACTAATGGCTTGGTGGCGCTCTGCTCTGAAGAGCCCATTTGCCGGCTCCCCTCCTCGGCTGCCCATTACCTGGAGCTTCCAGTGCATTTTAAGTGATTCTCTTGACTGTTCGGAGGAGAGCAGCTATGAGAGAGAGGCTGGTTGATAAGCTCTCAGAGCCATTTGTAATTTATACAAAAACTTTCCTTGGGGGGACCTTGAAGTACTTCGCACACGATGTCTTTAGGCTGGGACAGACTCATTCCAGGAGCCACGCCCTTCCTGTTCCTGACATGGACACTGAGCCCAGAGATGCCTCCGGATGTTGCCTAGGGCGCTCGGCCAGTGTGGCCACGCTGGGACCTCGACCCGGTGCTCTTTCAAGAATCCTTCAGGGACACACCTTAGGAGCTCAGTCCCCTCTGACTTTCACTGGCAAGATGTCATCATCTCTGCTTTAAAGTGAGGAGCCACAGGGCACAGGAGAAGAGCCTGGGCCGTCTTCCTGTTTGAGATGAAGATGCTGGCCTGGCAGGTGTCAGGCCCCCGTCCCGCCATTGCAGGGTGGTTTCTGCTGCCCTTTCCCGCTCTGCCCCCAGCCTGTCACCTGCCCCTCGACACCATTTAGCTCCTTCCCCCCTTGTACCCAGGGTGTACCCTATACTTTCCTCTCACTGGGCACTTTTCTCCCATCGGGATCTGGAACTGGGTCCAAGGGCTCCTTCTAGAATTGCCCCCAGGTGACCCAGCCCTCACCCATGTTCCAAAGCAGCAACGCTTTGGAACATTTTCATTTTCAAATGTACCCCAGCCTAGTGTGGCAGAGGAAACACGGAACAGGCCTGGGGGCAGGAGGTCAAGTCCTGGTCCCTGCACCTGTTCTGGAAATGCCTTCACCCCCATGCAAAGTTCCTTCCAACTCCAGAATCATGAATTTTTATATAAATTAGCAGGGAGGAATTTAGAGGAAAAATAGGTCTTCCGAAGCCTCAAGCCAGCCCATGTGTACTAGGAAGACTCAGGCTGTTGGATGCCAGTGTCTTTAGCCCCCTGCTGGAGCTGGGTGCTGTCCCTGTGTCGCCTTCCGGCCGCCGCGGTGGGTGGGAGCTGCTCTGACCAGCTCTGCCCGCGCTCACTCAAGGGACCAGCGATGCTGCTAAAGGAGGACCCTGGGAGTTCAGCGGGACAAAGGAGGCTGTGTAATTGGAAAATGAATTCTAATGCACACAAGTCTCTTCTCTGCCAGCTGGCTTGGGTGTACCTAGTAAACAGACCAAGGGATGTGTGCAGCTGTGTTCAGGTCGGTGTTTCGGTTTTCTGTGTGGTGTGAATATTCCGACTCCACTCAGAGTCTGAGTCTTTGAGGGTAGCCAGGTAGTGATTAGCACAGTCTTAGGCAATGGGTTGCTTAACGATCAATTAGTGATCATGACATCAAGCCCTGGCACTTCCGGTTTTAAGTCCGGTGGAACTTTAAGTCGCTATTGTCTTCCGAATGTTCACGAATGTACCATGCAAATAAATTTGATAAGAATTTGAGTGGATTACTCTTTCCCATTGTGGCTTATTAAAAATCATGATTTGTGCTTACTGCCTGCACTTTTGTGTAAGTTCTCCACTTCAGGCCTCAATTGGAATCATTCTAAACCTATTCCAAATGTAAATACAGTTGTCCCTTGAAGAGTCAGGGTTAGGGGTGCCATGCCCCACCCCACCCATTTTTGGTTGAAAATCTGCATCTAGCTTTTTATTCCCCAAAAACGTAACTACTAATAGCCTACAGTTGACACGAAGACTTACCGATAGCAAACAGTTCATTAGCACGTATTTTGTATGTTATGTGTATTATATACAGTATTCTTACAATGAGGTAAGCTAAAAAAAACAAAGTGTAATTAAGAAAATCATGAGGGCCCGGCCAGTGTGGCCCAGTGGTTGAGCGTTGACCCATGCACCAAGAGGACGCTGGTTCGATTCCCGGTCAGGGCACATGCCCAGGTTGTGGGCCAGATCCCCAGTGGGGGGCACACAGTAGGTGACCAGTTGATGTTCTCTCTCATTGATGTTTCTCCCTCTCTCTCCCTCTCCCTTTCTCTCTCTCTAAAAATCCATAAAGAAAATGATGAGGAAGAGAACATGCGTTTACGATCCTGTTCGCATTTATTGGACTAGCCTGTGTAAGTGGACCAGTGGG